CCCAGCTGGGGGGCGCCCCAGAACATGGAGAAGAACACGGACGGAACCCCGTTAGCCCCTCAAACCGAATTTTCGGGACTTCGGGTTGGGTTGGGGCGGTCTGGTATGCAGCCAGCGTGCGCGCTGAGCTTGCCTCACTCGCCCTGCTCTGGCCGTGCCTCTGGCCGTGCCACTGCCCGGCCTCTGGCGTGCCCCGCGCCCCGCGCGGCGCGCCGCGAGGGCCTCTCGACGCCGCGGCTCACTTGAGCCCAAATGAGCTAGGGAAGAGGGGGAGAAGGAGGAGGATGAGGAGGAGGAGGAGCACGAGGAGCCCAGGAGACATCAACGATGCTGCAGTGCACCCCCTCATCCGAAGTACCTTCCTCGTGACTCCCTTTAGACATTCCTTTCCACAGCCAGAAACGACCGCCCTATGGCCTATGGGCCTGCCATGCCGGCGAGACGCCCGCTATAAAGAGAAACGGCTTCCATCTCCCTGTGCACGAGAGACGCCAGGGGTTAGGGCCATGATAGTTTGAGGATCCGTGCGAGAGCACCCGTGTTCCATCCGTGTATGACTGCTGCATGTTTTGGTACGTCTGGTCGTACGCCAGACGAAGTTTGGATGATGATAATGATGATGTTGATGTTGATTATTAGGATGATGCTGATGCTGATGATGCTGCTGCTGATGATGATGCTGATGCTAATGCTGCTGTTCTTCTTGTTGTTGATGCTGCTGATGACGATGATGGCGACACTGATGCTGAGTATGAGATGACGATGGTGATTATGATGACAATGATGATACTGCGGATGATGGTGGTGATGATGCTGATGGGATGATGGTGATTCTGATGATGATGATGATGCTGAGGATGCTCATGACGGGATGATGATGACGTTGATGATGCTGCTGCTGATGATGTTGAGGATGGGATGATGATGCTGATGATGATGTTGATGACGATGCTGCTGATGATGATGATGGTGCTGCTGAGGATGGGTTGATGATGATGGTCATGATCATGATGGTGATGATGATGGCGACAATGACGATGCTGATGGTGACGATGATGATGATGGTGATGATGATGATGATGATGATGATGATGATGATGATGGTGGTGAGGCTCGACGACAGTGATGATGATACTGATGCTGAGGATGAGATGTCGATGACGATGATGCTGATGATGCTGATGATGCGGATGATGCTGATGATGGTGATGATGCTGATGATGGTAATGCTGATTATGATGCTGATGCTGATGCTGATGCTGATGCTGCTGATGATGATAATGACGATTGTAACGATACTGATACCGATGATGATGATGATGATGATGATGATGATGATGATGGTGGTGGTGATGATGATGATGATGGCGCTGCTGCTGATGATGATGCTGAATCTGCTGACGACTGTGATGATGTTGATGATGGTGTGGTGATGACGATGATGATGATGACGATGATGATGATGATGATGATGATGATGATGATGATGACGATGGTGATGCTGACGATGATGGTGATGACGATGATGATGATGAAGATGATCATGCGGATGATGATGATGATGATGACGACGATGATGATGCTGATGCTGATGCTGCTGATGAGGATGAGGATGAGGATGAGATGAGGATGAGGATGAGGATGAGGATGATGATGATGATGATGATGATGATGATGATGATGATGATGATGATGATGATGATGATGATGATGATGATGATGATGATACGGATGCTGATGGCGATGATGAGGATGAGTGACCACATTAAACCCAGGAGGCATCAACGAAGCTGCATGATACCTCCCGTCCAACGTTCACTTCTCGAAAGTTCCTACTGTCATACTGTTCCACTCGGAAGCGTTCTCTTGCAAGGCGAGCGCCCCTATCGGCATGCCATTCTGGCGAGAGTCCCGCTTTGAAACGGAACTCCCCTGCATCCCGCTAGCTACAATACTGCCATTCTGAAATCGACCCAACCTGCATTCGTGTATTATTGTTGCACGTTTCACGAAGTTTCAGGCGAGAGCTCAATCTTGAAAAATGAGCGGCCTTCCATCCTTATACAGGTTGTGTATGTTCCGTTTTTGGTGGTTAAAGCTAGAGGAAGTCTAAAGCGAGAGCCCCATTGTCAAAAGGAATTTCCCTCCGTCCGTGCAAATGTTGGGAGTTTTCAAGGCGAGCGTGCGCGACGCTTGAAAACGGCCTGCCCTCCATCGATGCAGCATAATCTTAAATGATGTGGAAGCCGCATGCGAAGCGCCCGGCCAGCCTCTGGTGGTGTGACGAGGAGGAGTGATTTCGTCGCTTCGCTCATCCCGTCAGCCCATATTGCAGTGTAGTTTTGCACGAGCCCACGCGCTTAGTGCGTATGACTTGCAGTCAGTTCGTCAGTTGGAATTGGGAAGTGCTATGGCTGAGAGGATAGTGCCAAGAGGGGTCATACAATTGAGCGCGTCGTTTCGCTTGCATTGAGGGACTAATTGTTTGAAGGATTTGAGCCACGTGCAGGCGTCTTGAATACTGTCTTGGACCATCTTGGGGCCATCTTGGGGCTATCTTGGGGCTTGGGCTGTCTGTGAGACATCTTGGGGCCTGCCACCAATGGATCCCCGCTCTATCCCCGAAGACCCCGAGAGGGAGGGTCACGTCCCCTACTCTGCGCCCGCGCCTCGACCGCCCCCGGACAGGGAGGCGCAGGAGGAAAGGGAGGAGCAGAAGGAGGAGGAGGAGGAGAACATGGAGGAGGAGGAGGAGGATGAGGAGGAGGAGGAGGAGGAGGAGTCTCCATAATGCCGTTCTGGGGCTCTATGGGAGCTCTCTTGGGCTTCTCCATCGGAGCCCGCCTGGCTAGACTCAGCTTGGCGCCACCTTTGGCGATGTTGGAGCAATGTTGAGGCCTGATGAGCTCGCAGGAAACAAACAAAAACAGTCCGAAGTCACAGAACAAACAGGTTTTTGACAGATTTTGACTTCCTGGGTGCCTCCTGGGGAGTGTCTCGGACCATCTTGGGCCACTCAGGAGATATCTTGGAGCCTCTTGGGGCTGTCTTGAGGGCATCTGTGGGGCCTACCACCAAGCGATCCCCGCTCCCGGGCCGCTGTTCGGAAGCCCACTGATCCCTGTTCCTTGGCCGCTCTTGGGCTCTCTTGGAGCTCCCTTGGGCGCGATCCTGGGGCTGTCTTGGGAGTCCTGAGGGCCGCGGCCGGGAGCACAGGCCTCTCTGACCCGAGTTGTCCGTGACTTGCCCGAGGTGTTTTACCCCAGGCCCCCCCAGCGATCTCCACGCGGGCGCTCGCTAGGCGTTCTAGGCAAGTTGCGCATTCTTGACCTCTCACTAGCGCTTCAATCACGGCCTGCGGCCCGTTGGGACGGCGAAGTTATACGGAGAGGGAGTGGGGGGAGGAGGAAGAGGAGGAGGAAGAGGAAGAGGACCAGGACGAGGATGAGGGTGATAATGATGATGATGATGATGATGATGATGATGATGATAATGATGATGATGATGATGATGATGCTGATGATGATGATGATGATGATGATGCTGATGATGATGATGATGATGCTGACGATGATGATGATGATGATGATGATGATGATGATGATGATGATGATGATGATGATGATGATGCTGATGATGATGATGATGATGATTATGATGATGATGATGATGATGATGATGATTGGTGGTGGTGGTGGTAGTGGTGGTGATGATGCTGCTGCTGATGATGATGATGACGACTATGAGGATGCTGCTGCTGATGATGATAATGCTGACGATGCTGATGATGATGCCGATGATGCTGCTGCTGATGCTGATGTTGATACTGAGCATGATGATGATGCTCGTGATGTTCATGATGCTAATGATGATGTCGACGGCGATGATGGCACAGGGATGATGATGCTGGTGATGATGCTGATGATGATGATGCTGCTGCTGCTGCTAATGATGATGAGGATGATGCTAATGATGCTGCTGCTGATGATGATGATCATGCTGACGCTGATCCCCATGATGATGCTGGTAATACTGATGATGCTGATTACGATGATGATGCTGAGGCGCTGATGATGTTAATGATGGGGATACTGTTGACGATGCTGCTGATGCCGCCGATGATGCTACTGATGGCGATGCTGATGATGATTATATGATGATTATGACGATGTGAACGATGCTGATGGCGATGACGATGATAATGACGATGACGATGATGCTGATGCTGCTGCTGATGATGATGCTGATGACGATGATGATTATGCTGCTACTGGTGATGATGCTACTGCTGCTGCTGATTATCAAGATTATTATGATGATGCTGAGGATGGTGATGCTGATGCTAATGATGATGATGCTGATGATGATGATAATGATGATGATGATGATGATGATGATGATGATGATGATGATGATGATGATGATGATGATGATGATGATGATGATGATGATGATGTGATGCTGATGCTGATTATGCTGATTATTACGATTCTGATGCTGCTGATGATGATGCTGGTGATGCTGATGATGATGCAGCTGATGTTGATTAAACAGGTGACGAGGATGAGGAAGAGAAGGAGGACGAGGATTATGATGATGCTGATGATGCTGCTGCTGATGATGACGACCATAGTGCTAATGTTTCTGAGCATCATGATGTCGATCATGCTGATGACGATGCTGCTGCTGATGATGGTGGTGGTGGTGATGATGATGGTGGTGGTGGTGGTGCGGAGGAAGAGGAGGAGGACGAGGAGGAGGAAGAGGAGGAGGAGGAGGAGGAGGGGAAGGATGAGATGGCGGGGGAGGTACGACGACGACGATGGCCGTGACGACGACGATGACGACGACGACGACGACCATGACGACCATGACGGCGAGGACGACCAGGACGACGATGGCGAACATGACGACGACGACGAGGACGCCGCGGACGACGAGCAGGAGGACGACGACAACGGGGACGACCGACGACCGCGACTTGCTCACTGGGTGCCCAG